AACAATCCGGGTCCTCATTTTACCCACCTCGGAAGGATGGAAGGCTGAGTCAACCCTGAACCGGTGAGATTTGAACAGCCGAACTGCAGAACTGCTGAAGTAGCCTGCAGTGCTGCATTTAACCACTGCGCCACCTCGGCTCGGCTCTCCCCTTGAAAAGTACTCTTCACTTGCATGCATCAGATGAGTTGACTCAACTTAAAATAGGTGATAATAGATGATTAACCCTAGAAGTATACTCAAAAACAAACTGCCAGGGGCTAATGGGTCTGTCCTCTTATCACACAGGCAGGTCCATTCTGTAGCAGCTGAAGATTCTGGATCCAGGGCAGCCCCATTTAATATGAATTAAGGTAATCCAGGTGAGAGGCAACAATATGAGTGATTGTATTCAGTGCCCCCCTCTCCATTCCAAGAATGGGCCACAACCAGTGCAGTAAACAAAACTGAGGAAAGAGCTTTTTGATCATGGTCACTTCCAGTAGGAACTATGATTCCAGATAAATCTCTAGATTGTGGATCGGTTCTTTCAAGAAAAAGACAACCTTGTCTAGAATTAAAGTTAATGCAATCTTTTGCTTTCTAATTTAACAACCATTTTTCTTGGGTTGAGTCTGAACCCATTTTTCCCCTTCCAGACTTGGATAGGTGGCCCACTACGTAGGTAGATCTGGAAATTGACTTCATAGAAAAGCCACAACTACAATTTATTAAAGTAAGTTATAATAACAGAATCTTGAATCCTGCTTTTTCTTCTTATATCCCAGTGAATCATGTAGCTATTTGCCTCAAGTTACTTCCAAATATAATCATGTCTCCAAGGTTAAGTAATGCTTCATCTCTCTTTGCCTATGTAATAGTTTTTGAATATTTCTGTCAAGGTCATCTCCCTTACTGTCTATACTGACAGACTTCAAATGCATTGGGAGTGGAGTGGGCCCCCATTTGTCTCAGATGGAGATATATATTTATTAACATAAATATTAGTGATGCCTCCCTTTGAAGCAATGTGTGACTTAACAGACTACATTCAGACATATTTAAAAAATGAAGGAGGGAGTCAAGACCCAGGAGCTCCTCACTGGAGTATTCAAGGTCTGACCTCTCTTCCCCCAAGGTCACTGACTGGAATTACATCCTTATGAAAGAAAAGAAACATTCTAGTATGGTTGTCCTCCAAAGCTTATCCTTCCAGCTGGCAGAGAATATTGTGGTCAAAGGCTATTGAGAAATCCAGTAGGAAAAGGATGATTGGAGTTCCCTCAGCCTAGCCATTTACAAGAGTTACTGCTACAATTTCAGTCTCTTGAGGACAACGTATCGGCAGGGATTCCAATAAGGACAATAATGGGATTAGGATAGAATTTTCCAGGCCATGTTTCTGCTATGATGAAGTATCTATGAAGAAAGGTCCCAGTTTATTATACTAGGTTAGATGCTTTATTATACATATATAAAGCCAATATTGAGTTCCTTAAGGGTCTCCAATGGAAGGAACAGACGGAATATAGCTAAACCTCCTATTATGGATTCACCAGAGGTGGTATTCAGCAGGTTTGACCAGTTCTGGAGAACCGGTAACAGAAATTTTGAATAGTTTGGAGAACCAATAAATACCACCTCTGACTGGGCCAGCCCTCATCTATTCTCTGCCTCCCAAGTCCCAGCTGATCAGAAGAGATTTTGCAGTATCCTTCCCCTGGAGTGGGAAGGAAATGGAGATTTTACAGTGTCCTTCCCCTGCCATGCCTACCAAGCCACGCCCACCAAGCCATGCCATGCCCACCAAGCCACACCCACAGAACTGGTAGTAAAAAAAATGGAATCCCACCACTGAGACTCACCTGTACGTCTACTTGTCCTGTCAAAAGCATGACTGATGATACTTGTGTATCTTATACAGTATAACTAAGAAAGGCAAATGAGTGGAGGAACTTTCCTTTCCCCAAATTTAAAATGGCATTTTCAATGCTTTATCAGGGATCTTAAAAATATACTGTATCTGCCATCAGGTTGCAATCTGGTCATTTTGCACCAGAGACATGTTTTTAAACAGTCCCTNCTACACACACACTCTCTCTCCCTACCTACCTACTGTATTTCTCTCTATTTCCTTCTATTTCTCTCTCTCTATCCCTCTATCTACCTACCCACCTACACACACACTCTCTCTCCCTACCTACCTACTGTATTTCTCTCTCTCTCTTTTTCTCTCTCCCTATTTCTCTCTCTCTCTATCCCTTTATCTACCTACCTACCTAACTACTCTCTTTTTCTCCCTACCTACCTACTGTATTTCTCTCTCTCCCTCTCTATTCCTCTATTTACCTACCTACTTTTTTAAAAATTTGCCTCTTCAAAACCTTGGTGCATCTTATACTCCAGGGCGTATTATACTCCGAAAAACACGGTACCTCTTATGACTTTCAGGATTCAGAAAGCTCTTTGTAAGGAGGCGTTTTTGCCTCTCCACTTTTTCAGCATTTAGGACAATGGAAAAATGATCTCACCAGTCAAGCTTTTAAAAATTATTGTACATACTCATGGATAAGCTGAACCCAATTTGGGGGGTGTATGTTGGTGCCTAAAATTCTCAGTTAATCTGTGAGTATATACAGTATATTTTACTGTTGCATTTTGCTTACATTATTGTAAGCCCTTCTAGTGGGTATATAAGCAGAAAGGTAGGGATGCATTTAACAATAAAAATAAAATAACTATATCATTTGTTTCATAGAATGTAATGTCTATTACATGTCTATGTAATAGACATTACATAGGAGAAGATTGCATTATTTAACACATCAAAAGATTGAGAAGGCCAGTGTGACAGACTGGGATGTTGGGCTGAGAAGACCTAGATGCAAATTCTTATTCCATCAATGAACTAATTGGGTGATTTTAATCCTCACTTTGAATCTTCACTGATTCAAAGGGAATTGCTGTGGGAATAAAATGAGGGGAGATTCCCATCTGCATTGTATCTTGACCTAAGAAATGCAGGATAAATAAAAATGAACACACTGGCACATCTGGAGCCCAACGTACAAAAGTGCCCATTATTGATCAATTACTGCTCACTCCTATTATTATTGTTGCCTAAAATTCATTTTTTTTCTAATTTTCCAAATATTTCACTTGAAAACAAAGCAAGTCCCCATTTTTCAGAAAAATCCTACCCTTTTTTTTTGCAATGTGGAGAAGAAAGCACATGGGATCAGTGTCAAATGCTGACCTTTTACAAAGACCCTTGTCATGTTTACCCTGATACAAGCAAAGACTCCCATTTAAATTCTGCACTTCAGTTACATGATTAACTACTTGCCTAATCCTTTCAAGATTTTCTTTTCCAGTTTTTGTTCTTTTGGAATACTGGCCTCCTTTGAGCCGTCCCCCAAAGGGGCCTGGTCTTTCTCAGGCTCATCATGGCCATCTTCATAGACCCCATCTTCGGGACTAAACAAGTCTCCTTTCTCAGCTCCGTCTGTTGCTTTCATATTCCCTTCCTCCACCAGACAGGCAGCTGATCCGTAGGTTTTAATAATGTCCTCCAGCTGTTGGCTCAGCTCCTCAGATACATCACAGAGCTTTGTTTCAGGCTGAGCCTGGGCTGTGTTCTCAGGGGACTGAAGAAGCGGTGTCTCACTTGCTTTCCCGAAGTAATTCTGAGAAGGCAGATCTTCAGGGTTGTTCGCAGAAGGTGATTGTTGCTGTTCAGGCTGGCCACTGGTGCTTTGGTCATAGTCCATGCTGGATACCTGACAGCAGAGAGCTCAGTTTTAGACAAACACGAGGCAAAACAACTGATGCAGAAGTAGACAGTTTTAGTTCGCTTTTCCCATATGGCAATGTTTCTGTTCAGAAAATGTATTTATGTACAGGTTTATGTAGGTATTCTCAGTATATTCTACACTTCTAACGTAATAGCAAGTATATAATCTCAGTAATAAATAATAAAATATAGCATCACAATGAAAAGATGAAATGTTTCTGTCCCAAGAGCAAAAGAGGAATTCAGCAGGTTCTGACCAGTTCTGGAGAACTGGTAGTGGAAATTTTGAGTAGTTCAGAGAACTGGTAAATATCACCTCTGACTGGCCCTGCCCCAATCTATTCTCTGTCTCCCAAGTCCCAGCTGATCAGGAGGAAATGGGGATTTTGCAGTAACACTCCCTTGAAGTGGGGAGGGAATGGATATTTTACAGTATCCTTTGCTGCCACACCCACCAAGCCAGATCTCCCAAGCCTACAGGACCGGTAGTAAAAAATTTGAATCGCGCCACTGCCCAAGAGCCCAATAGATATAATCTTATGACAGCCTTGTTGAACTAGGTAGCTTGCACATGGGCTGCACTTGAATTCCTACCCAGCACAAACATTGTGTGAACATAACTGAAACAGGAGCACAACAGGGTGATCTCCTGTTCCTTCCCTCAGCTTCTGTCCACCTAGCAGTTTGAAAGCATACACACGTGAGTAGATTAATAGGTACTGATAAGTTCCCTGAAGGAAAGAGGCAGGAGGCTCCTGAGGTAAGTCAACAGCAGTTTATTAACAGAACTGAACAGCAGACAAGTTAGCGGTAGACAGGGACCTCCCCTCTGCTTGACAGCTATTTATACGGAGTTGTCAAGCAGGGAGGCCAATAGCTGCGCGTCTGACAGCCTGCGCTCAGCCATGCCGCGCCAGAGCAAATTAGGCACGCCCTGGCTGTTGCTGGCTGTCATTCATAACTACGAGGACTAAACAGGTACCTTTGTCAGAAAGTCGCAAAAGGTCTGGGGATACTGCATGATCTCGGGATACTGCAACCATCATAAATACATGCCAGTTGCCAATAGGTAGAATGCAATATTGGAGGCTAATTCTACTGACTACCAGCAGTTCAATTCTGACTTAGCCTTCCATCCTTCCAAGATGGGTAAAATGAAGACCCAGATTTTTGGGGACAATATGTTTGATTCTGTAAATCACTTAGAGGAAGCTATAAAACACTATGGAGTGATATATAAAATCTAAGTGCTATTGTTATTGCTTCCACTTCGGTGGGAAGTTAACAATGGTCTGTGTGTCTTTGGTGTATAGCCTTGCTGCCCACATGACCACAGAAGGAAGAAAATTACCCTTACATTTGGTCCAGAAGGATACCATGGTCAGTGGTATTGAAAGCTGCTGATATATCATCCCCATCCTGGCTCCACCATAAGTCATCATGTAAAACCCATCCTGAACCCTGACTGAATTTAATCCAGATAATCTGCTTTCTCCAGGATCCTCTGAAATTCCAGCCTGTTGAAGAAATGCCAACAATCTTCTCTAAAAAGGAAAGGTTGGAGACAGGATGATACTCATCTAGAATAATTGGACCTTTTGAGGATGGGATATACCCCAGCCACTTTCAAGGCTTTCAGCACCATTCGTCTCTCAAAGAGGCCACCATTTGAATCTCATTATAGATGACCTCCTAGCTATCTTAAACAAGCCAAGAATAGCCTGGGTGCAAGAAGCAGATAGCCAAGTTAACAACAGCAAGAGCCCTGCTTATTTCTTCAAGAGTCATTAACTCCAATATATTCCAGATCACACTACCACACTACTTAGCACTTTGTCTGGGTATGCCCAATGGGAATTCAGCTCAGAGCATATTTGATGTCTTTAAAGAAAGCACAGAATACTCTTCCATACAATTGCTTATATTATTATTTCCTGTTGTTGAATGTAAACAGAAATAACTACTCTGTACTTATCACATAGTTTTAAAAGAACACCAGCATGGCTGCTCTTATCCCACAACAGTTCTATCTTTTTCCTTTTTTGTTATTGATTTGGAAAAAAAACTTTAAAAATTACTTGAAATCTGTCTGTTTTGCTTTTTTGGTGCTTCTTATTGCTGACTGAAAAATACAAAATGCCTTGCACTAAAGTACACCATTGGGAAGGTATCCTCTTTGTAACATGTATGTTTCTGGAATGACAGGGATAGAGATGGTCTGCTATTTAAGCATCTTGTTTGGGTCTTTTTTTCCTCAAGAATGTCCAAAATAACTTCCTCATTTTCCTTCAGATCTCCATAAAAGGGAGAATCCAGAAGATTAATTCTTCTGATACCTATGATAGTGACATTGTATATCCATTTCAACAAGCGAGGTACTAATACCACTCTATAAAACCTTAGTAAGATCACACCTAGAATATTGCATTCAGTTTTGCTCACCACACTATAAAAAGATGTTGAGACTCTAGAAAGAGTGCAGAGAAGAGGAACTAAGATGATTAGGGGCAGTGGTGGGTTCCGGATCCCGTTCCAACCGGTATGGTTAGAACGGCCCGGTGACATCCACATGGCCGCGCAGAGCATGTGTGCACATGTGCAGTGTGCGCATGCATCTTAGTGCCTCTGTGAGCCTCTGTGACGCTCCAGCTGCTCAGTGGAGGGTAATGCAGGCGCTGTATGTGCTGTGCGTGTGCATGGAAGCGCTGAAGACTTAAAAGACCAGTAAGGAGCTTGGGCGGGCAGGTGGGCTCTCTGGAGCACCGAACCGGAACGGTATCCGGTGCTGCGGGCAGGTTCCGGTATGCCTGTACCAGGGCGTACTGTCTGCAACTCACCATTGGTTAGGGGACTGGAGGCTAAAACATATGATGAACAGTTTCAGGAACTGGGCATGGCTGCTCTAGTGAAAAAAAAAAAAGAATCAGGGGAGACATGATAGCAGTGTTCCAATATTTGAGGGGCTGCCACAGAGAGGAGAGGATAAAGCTATTTTCCAAAGTACCTGAAGGCCAGACAAGAAATAATGGATGGAAACTGAACAAGGAGAGATTCAACCTGGAAATAAGGGGAAATTTTCTGACAGTGAGAACAATCAACNATCCTCTAAACAGGTACATAGCCAGGAATTCGGAGGCAGCTGATTTTTTGCTGCCCCCACCAGTAGGCTCCACCCAGGAAGTCCTTTGCAAGGTGTTTCTCAAAGAGAAGGAAGCAAGAGCAGAGCTTCTTCAGAGGACCCGAGAAAAAGCAGTGTTGAAGCCCTCTCTGAAGCAGCTGGAAAAGATACGTGTGGGTTGGAGGGGGGAAGGAATTCAAACTTCATCCTCCTGATGCGGTGCGGGGCTTTGGGCAATGGCTGGAGGGAAGGACCCTGGCTCACTCGGCTCTCCCTCCCCAAGTGTAGTTTGGTTGCAGGCGGAGCCACGTTGCCTTTTCAAACCTATAATCAGTGAGGCTGGGCTGGATTTTACATAACCGATCCAAGCCTTCCGTGGAGGAACGTGTGTGTGTATGACTCTTTGCCTGGCTTCCTGCCTCCTCCTGTGGTCTCCTCAGTGCTCTCTGGTGCTCTCCCTCCCCAAATGTAGTTTGATTGCAGGTGGAACCACGTTGCCTTTTCAAACCTGTAATCAGTGAAGCTGGGCTAGTGTTTTGCATAGCTTTATCCAGCTGTCAGGGGAGGGGCAATGACTTCCTCCCCAGGCCCCCATCCATTCTCTCATACACACACATACACAGCTGGATAAAGCTATGTAAAAATCCAGCACAGCTTTACTGACTACACTTGGGGAGGGAGAGCATGAGTGAGCACTGAGGAGACCACAGGAGGAGGCAGGAAGCCAGGCAAAGAGCCATGTTATAGCACACACACTTTTCCCCAGCCTCCTTCTTTCGAGAGGCTCGGATTGGCTCCCCTCAAGCTTCTCTGCCTCTCCTCTCACCCCAGCCTGCCAGCAGGAGGTGAGTGGGCAGATTTATTGTATTCCAGGCATTTCCTATCTGGACAACACACTGCATTTGCAATGGGGGAGGTGTTTGGGGAAGGCAGCAGGGGAATGGGGGAATGGCAGAGGAGCTGCTTTCAAGCCATTGGGAGAGATATCCAATCCAACTTGTGTCTGTGTGTGTGTGTGTGTGTGTGTGTGTGTGTGTGTGTGTTTGGGAGAGAGTGAAAGAGGGAAGGGAGTAGGAGAGAAAATCCAATCCAAGTTCTGTGTGGGTGGGTGTTTGAGAGAGGGGAGGGATGGGGAGAGGGAGGAAGGAGGGGAAGGGAGAAGAA